GTGCATAGGGAGGCGTGCGTGGAGGAGGGTCAGCAGGAGGCGGGCAGGGGTGCGGGACGACGCAGCGAGGTGGGTCGGGCAGTACGCGTGGTGAGGGTTCGCTGCCAGCTGGCAGTGCTATGTTCACAAGAATCGACGATGACCCCTCCCCCTGACGACCCAGGCAGCCACCTGTCCTGCACGCCCATGGATAGGAACAAGGCGAGAAGCCATCCCCGCACGCCCCACCCACCATCAGGTTGTGCACGTTGGCCACCATGACCGCGAACAGGTTCTCGTTCATCGTGAAACTGCTCAGCAGCAGGTACCCCATCTGGCCCGCCATCCGCAGCACGCTGCCCGCCAGCACCGACGCGGCCCACGGCCAGCGCCAGACCCACAGGGTGCCCAGGGCAGCCGCTGTCATGCCGTGCATCAGCACGTACGTTACCGCCCGCAGCGGGCCCAGCAGCACTGGGAGGGGCGGCGGCAGCGGCCCAAAGGGAGATGGAGGTTAGGGGCATGACCCAGCTGGGCCAGCAGGCCAAGCATGCAGGGAAGGGGCAGCCGCAGAGCCCCGCAGCCGCGCTGACCGCGCCCCTGCAACGCCCCTTCAGCGCTCCCTGGGGGCGGCGCGACAGCTTGACCCAGACCGCGCGCTGACCCGGCCCACCGAGCAGCAGGAAGGACGTCGCCATCATCGTGTTCCAGCCCGCCCCCGGCCCCGCGCGGCACGCGGCGATCACGATGGGCAGCGGCAAAAAGTAGCCCAGGGAGGAGTCGAGCTTCAGCAGGGTGGACAGCAGGAACGCCAGGCCGGACACGGCCGCCAGCATGGCAGTCTCGACCAGGGCCTGCGCGGCAGAAGAGGTGGTGAGCGTGCGTGCGTGCGTGCCCTGCAGTGGGACGCGGGGCGGAAGACAGGGACGCGGCTGCCTGCAGCCGGCTAGCGGGAGGTAGGGCGTTGCGGGAGGGGGCCGGACGCACGGCCGGGGACACCGGTGCACGGAACTGGACGATGAGCCCAGCCGACCTTACTGTGACTGCCTGCCGCCTTCTAAGTGGCTGCCGCTTGACCGTGAAATCGCGCCTGGCGGCCCCACCCCCATCGCTGTTCGTACCTTGGTATCTTCGAGGGAATAGGGCTCCTCATCCGCAGACGCGTCGACAAAGTGCGGCTGCCCGTCCGGCACCTCCAGGGCTCTCAGCGGCAGCTGCTGACCGCTCAACACAGGCTCGTCACCTTCCCCATGCGGCGGCGGCGACGGCAGCGGCGCGCCAGCGGCGGCTGCCGACGGCGACGCTGCACGGGCCGCTGCTTCGCTGCAGCGAGGGATGGGGCCATTTCGCACGGCTGGCTGGTGTGCAAGCCGCTGCCGATGCTGCCGCTGAATCTGCTGCTGCTTCAGACTATGCGTTTGTGGTCTGCCGTTGCCGCTGCTACTAATGCACCAGCACCGGCCCACACCAAGAGCAGGTGCCTGCCACGGGGGCGCAGCAAGTTGGGCAGCTGCAGCGCGAGGCCGCCGCAGCCCCGCTGCTACCGGGTGCATGCCCTGCCCTAGTTGTAGCATTCTATGTCCCAACAGCTTGCCCATCACCGCAGGCTGCACTGCACCAGCACGGCCTGCAGGCGCGGCGCGCGCGTGCGGCGAGTGTAGCACTCAGCTGGTGCCGCAGCAGAGTGCTGGTTGTTCACAGCGCCAGTTGTCACCCCTGCCGAAGCCAACGGCAATGGCACTCGTTTCGTTGTTTCTTTGAGTTGTGCGTAGACACTGGTTGGGCCGTGATCTCGCAGCCTGATGTAGACGACGTTTGCCGCAATTCGATCGATAGAACATTGCAAAACCTAAATGTGGATCGTATCAAAAGTTTGCTGCATCGCTGAAGTCCTGGCTGCTGTGTCACCACCTTCCATCCCCGCCGCCGAAACGGCCGCACCCAGCTGGGGCCGCACATAGCCTCGGCCTCGGCCGCACCTGCCGCCCGTGTCCCTTGCCCAGGCCCCTGTACAATGCTGGCTCGGAGCGTTCAATGCCTCTCGCTGCCCACTGTGCGTCGCTGGGCGCACGCGTGCGGCGGCCCCCGATGGGTCCCAGCTCCACCATGCGGCACCACCCGCACAGCCATGACTGCCTCTGCCCTCGGCGCGGGCAGCCTGGATCTCACAGGCCACACGTTCCTCGTCACGGGTAGCACAGACGGCATCGGCCAGCACACCGCGCTGCGCCTAGCGGCAGCAGGCGCGACGGTGCTCGTCCACGGCCGCAGCCGGCAGCGCACCGACGCCGCGGCAGCCAGGGTCAAAGACGCGGCTGCGCGCGGCAGCGGCGGCAGTAAAATCGGCGACGTGAGCGACAGGGTTTACTCATATGTTGCTGATCTGGCGGATCTGGGGCAGGTGAGGGAGCTGGCAGTGGCGGTGAGGGCAGAGCATCCCGGCGGCATCCACACGCTCATCAACAACGCAGGCGTATACTGTGAGCCGGCCGATGCGTGCCTGCGTGCATACGCGTGTTCATGTGTGCACGCACGCATGTTTATGCGTGTTGCGTGCTGCGTGCTGCGTGCATTGGCTTGTGTGAGATTTAGCAGATGGACGGACGCGTTGACGCGATTGGACAAAGTGTACTTGGATCGATTTCATTGGCATGCACAAGCAAGTGACCGCATGCGCGTTGCATCTGGCTGGATTTCAGCCGCATAGTGGCACGTGCTGTACCCGGCTGGATGCTGCAATTGTGCCCCAGCGCCTATGCTTGGCTCTGCCAATTCAGCGCCGCTACGTGCCTGCCTGCCCCCGCGCGTCACCCGGTTCAACCCTGCGTCCACACTGCAGCCGAGCGCATGGCCAAGTCTGCCGACGGGTTCGAGCTGACGTGGGCGGTCAACGTGCTGGCCCCCTTCCTGCTGACGTCACTTTTAATAGACAAGGCGCGACACCACCACTCAAGGCAGCCGGCTCATTGTCACGCAGCCAACGCGCTTGGCACAGCGGAGGCGGGGGCTATCTGGTTGCAGGCACACCTCAGGGACCTCCCTGCTATAAGCTTACCGACTGTCCATCTGCCACGCGTCGACTCCCTCCCCCCCGTCCAACCCCCAGGTGACAAATCAGGTCATCACCACAAGCAGCATATCAGCATCATCACACCTCGACATGCGCAACCTTCAGCAGGAGCGTGGATTCAGGTAGGGGTTGACTTGGTTGCTATGCCTGGATGTACAACAGATCGGCAACTCTTTGAGCAATCATCACCCAACAGGCAGCATCTGCTGCAGGTCGGCCTCCCTGTGCCAATGTGAACTCTTGAGCCTCTGAAGTCTCGCAGAATGCGCACCATGACTTCTTTCAGCCGGCTGGAGCCGAGCCTACAACATTGCGTCCGTGTGTGTATGTGTCGGTGTCCGCACATGCGCGTGCGCGCGCCCTCTCGTCCGCAGCGCCCACTCTGCCTACAGCGCCAGCAAGCTGTGCAACCAGGTGTTCACCTTGAAGCTGGCCCGCTTGCTTGCCGATGCAGGGAGCCCCGTGGTGAGTTTCTACGACGAATCCTGCATTCTGTGTGCGGGTTGCGACCCTGGCGCAGGCTGCTGGGCAGCTCTTGGTGTGCCCGTGCATCTCGCAAGTGTTGACGGGAACCGCTCTTGGCGCAGGTAGATGCGCGGCCAGAGCGCCCAACCCGCCTCCTGGCCCGCTCACGGTCATGACTACCGTGTGTTGTGCTTTTCGCTTCCTTGACAGCCTCCACCCCCCCCTCCTGGCTCCACCCGCATGCACCACCCTGCACATCAGCTGGCCAACACTCTGGACCCTGGGACAGTCAACACTAAGATGCTGCTGGCCGGCTGGGGCCGCATCGGGATCGAGGCACGCTGGGCGCGGTGTCCGGGGAGTGCGGCTGGCGCAGTTGTGGGCAGTGTCCGCGCTTCTGTCCGGAATGATTCGCTGCAGGGCGTGGCGGTCGGGCCGCGGTCATGCACATGGCTGCCCTGGCTGCCGGCTGGCTCGCACCTGCTGTCAGGCCTGGCTGCTTTCCTGGTGGCCTCTTGCAGCGACCAGCGCAGCTCGACCTCTGTAAGACACCTTCTGTATTCATAATTGTTTGCTTCAATGCAACCTGCACGCACCCCTCTGACCTGCAATCTTGCGCATGCCCCAACTGCGTCCTCCCCCCCAGGTCAGGGATGCCGACAACACCTTCCAGCTGGCGACAAACCCCGGCGGCGAGAGCGGCAAGTACTACGTCAGCGGCCGCAGGGCGCGCCCTGTTTCGGACGCGGCCGATCCCGAGCTGCAGGATCACTTGTGGGCGCTGTGGGAGCAGCAAACAGGTGCCGAGTTTTGGCTGTAGTCGACTACCGTGCTGTGGTGGCAGAGAGTCCTGTATAAAAGTGACGCTATGCGCATTTGGCGGATGTGACAGTACATACAATTAATGTGGTGGTGGTGCTCGCTGGGGTGGTTGGGGTTCAAAGGAGAGGGATTCGGGCCAAACACTGTGGTCTACTCTAGTGTTACAAAATGACACCAACTGGGTGGAGATGACACCGATCAGGAAGGATTTGGGGTTGGCGCAAGGGTTGTGGAGGTGCAGGTGGTGTCAGGATGTCCGAGAGACCGTGCAACAGAATTGGAGAGAGCATCCACGCCCTTATGAATCAGACCTAGGCTCGCATTCCATCGTGTGACCCTGGGGATTGACAGTCTCTGTACCTGACTCAACTAACCAAGTGCCTGAAGGTTCCGAAGATATGTGGACAAAGGTTTGGGCCATCGATCTTCATCGAACCCCGTGCCTGTAGCAGGCGCCACATGCAAAACTACATGCTGCAACGGATGCAACCCGACCAGGGTATGGCACGCGCGTCATCATCGAGACTGCACACTGCAGGCAAACGGCGGTGGAGACCACTGTGCGCAGGCTGTTGCAGTGTCTCTTACGGCAACGGCGTGTTTGCCGTGCCTGTGCACAGAGAACCCCCAGGGGAAGAGGAAAATCAAGTGGAAGTGAAAATGGAGAAGCAGTCGGCCTCGAGCTCATTCCTGGCGAACCGCAGCGCTGCCTCGGACTCATCCTGGTGCGGCGAGTGTCCCCGTTGCCGAGGCTGCGTGCGCGGCATCTCCAGGCACTTCGCATCCTGCTTCTGCTGGCGTCGCCGCTGCGTTTCAGGCTGATCGGCGCTTTTCGCCCTGAAGGGTGTGTGGGCGAGACAAGGGTGCATAGGCGGTTGGATTCATGCACGGGTTGCTGAGTTGCCGTTTGGCTGAGCTGTGCCAGTAGTGCAGGTGCCCGCGCAGCACTCTTGCCAAGAAGTGTCGCTTTGAGCAACCATGTACATCCAGGAGCAGGTCCTGCTGCATGCATTCTTCACCAGAGTAAATTGCTGTCCTCCGTGCGTGGGGGCATACACCACTGTGCACGCTGTGCAGCGCCTGCACTCACCTTGCATCCTGCAGCTCTGCAGCCGCCGCCAGACATGCGGTAATGTCGAAGCGCGCGTCGCTGCACGCACCCCACCACACGGCAACGCTGTGGTCTTTTTGGCAGTGAGACAGGGCCTCCAGGAACTGGGTCGGGCCCGGCGAGGGCACGGAGGTGCAGGGGTTTCGCTTCGTGGGTGAGGCGTCCGTTGTGAGTCAGAGCAGGACAACGGCGATCGACCCCGGCTGCTTGGGTCCTGGCCATGCGAAAATGCTGAGCTGGATGTGAAATCATACCTCTGCGCAGACAGGATGCTTCTCTCCAGGGACCAGTGGCGTGTGCATCATCAGCATGGCTTGCTGCATTATGGCCCAGGGTGTCTAAACGGTGATGCGTTGACGGCTGCCTTGATGCCCACAGGTTGTGACTGAACGCTCAGAGGTGAGAGGCTCAATAAGCGCAGGCTTACAAGCATGGATCCCTTAGGAGCGCAGCGCCTGAGCTTGCGCAAGGAGTTGCGGAGATCGCGAAAGGCGGGTCCCGGGATTCGAAGCGTATTTATGACCTGGGATAACTGAAAGAGCTGATTTGATTCGGAAGAACAGCTGGTGGCTGTCACAGAGGATGCTCCACAAGACCCACCTCGAGTCATGTGCAACTGCACGCCCTGCCAGCTCGCGACGGCTGCTCAGGGCCGCAGCACTTTTGCTTCAGACGACATCCGGCATCGAGCCGCCACTCATCCTAGCCTGATTCTGTGCATATATTGTGTGTATGATGTGTGCAAAGGTGCCGCTTCAGCGGTATGCAGCATCACTGCTGCAGCCTGGTGCGTGCATAATCCCAGGGTCGCAGTTACGGTGTACTGACTCAGCGACACAATTATACTTTGTCGGGTCTCAGTTTGGTTTTCAGTCGGGTCCCGGCACGTTGTGTCGGACGTGAATGTTGCTGTTGTATATCCTACGGGGCATGAAATAATTCCTGATGTTGGTTTGGGTGGTTGCTCGGCACCCAGGGCTTGACCCGTTTCGTGCTGCAGCACCTGTCAGCCCCCACAATTGACGTCATTGTCCAGGAAATCACAGATCATGCTCTGCAGGCTGTACAAGGAGCGTTGACACACTTCTCAACAGTGTCAGCAGCCTTATGCCTGCATTGTCTTCATGTCTCTCCCCCTCCTCACCCGTGACCCAAGACCAGTAACACAAGCTGCAGTCCAAGCCCGCAAATTGCTGCTGCTCCAATAGAAGGCTCAACGGTGGCACTGACACTTTTACCGACCAACGTATATCACCGGTACCAGGCTTGTGATCTGGTCGACGATCAAGACCGTCGGGGCCCTCTTTGCGCACCAGATTGCAATGGCGCCCACAATTTATCGATTTGGGTCGTCTGAAAGGCCAGCAGCGCCTGCCGGGCGACGCGGTAGCAGCACCAGGCATCGGCCGATCGGCGCTGTGTGCAGATTCCACGCAGACAAGGCACGTCGCCGGAGTTTCTTGTGCCTATATGACTGTCTGTTCCATGGCATACATCGTTGTTATTCATCTTGATTTGCTGGCCCAATGGAACCTCGTCTCATCGCGGGGCAGGTGCCAGCGCCAGACATCAGCCTCATTGAGCCGTACGTTATCTGGGAACGCGTCGCCACACTCACAGGTGCGCTGCTAGCGGCCAGGACCGCACGGGTCGACAGCGTCCGCGGCGGTGCGAAGCGTGAACCGCCCACGCATCGCCCCTTCCCGCATGCCCCTGCAGCATTTTGGGACCCGCGCGAACACAATGAGGTGAGCGCCATCTGCGGCGCAAGCGCCCACTGTCGTGCGGCTGTGAGAGTCTTGCTTGAGCACAATGGAAGCATTATTGCAAAATGGGGGGGTGGCTTGCAAGCGCCTGCCAGCGGCGACAGCACCCATTGCTAGCATCGGCGGCAGCAGTGGCGGCAGCAGGGGGCGCGAGGCAGGCGCAGGACGCGTGTGAACAGCAGGATTGTCGTCGTTTGCCCCGCCAGCGCGCTGCTGGATAAGGCAATTCGTTGGGACTCCCATCGCAATGATGTGCATCGATGCCGGATCACAACAGGAAGATTTTGAGGAGCTGATGCGGCAGCTGGCTTCGAGGGGCGCGCAGAGCATTGAGCTGTCGCAGGTGCGGTTTTGAACGCAATCGCCCACATGCGTGCGCCGCGTGGCCGCTGCCCGCTTGTGCTACAGGGCGGAAACTTGGCAAGCAGGCCTGCTGGTATGTGGCGGCTACGCCGGCTTGCTGCTGGCACGTCCAAGTTTGGGGTATCCACATGGTGCATCTGACGTCGCACGGAATCACGAAATACAGCTGCAAGCCTGCAGCTGACCGCTCAGCCTCCACTGCGATGCTGTCGCTCTCTCCTGCCGCCTGCTGCACAGGTTGCAGGGGCCAGCGGCCAGCCGAGCAGGGTGCAGCTGACCGTCTCCTGCGGCAGCGAGCAGGGGACGGCCGACGCGGTGGCCGCCGTCATCCTGCAGGCGAGCGCCAGGCGCCCTCGCTCGCCCGCTCCTCCTGCATGGCCTGCATGCATGGCTCGTTGTGCCGCACACGCGAGGCGCAACACGACTTGCTTACAAGGCGGCGCTGGGCTTGACACCGCGGAGCTGGGCTTGACGCCGGCCGCGCCTGAGCCCCCCCCCCCACCCGGGTGCGACGCCCCCGGCAGAGTACCGCGGCGCTGGACGTGCGCGTGTCCCAGGACCAGCGGTGCGGGCTGCCCCAAGAGACGGTGGCGGTGGCGACGCCCTGGGGCCGCGTGCGCGTCGCCATCAGCCTCAAGGGCGGCGACGTGTTCAAGGTGACCGCGTACTGGGGCGGGGGCTGGGCGGGACGGTCGGCCGGGCACTGGCGCTTGGGTGGCTGGTGGCTGCTGGGCTGGGCCGCGGCTCAGTGTGGTTGTTTTGCTTGCGGTACCGCCCCTGACTTTGTCAGGAGTTTCTGTTTACACCAGCGGCGCCGCGCGGCCCCCCGACGAGCAGGCCAGCCCTCACTGGGTCGAATGCGAGCGGGCGGCAGCCGCGGCGACGGCGGCGCCCGGGCGGGAGCCTGTGGCGGCCGAGGCGGTGGCGGCGGCGGCGCTGGAGGCGTTGGAGGCCGGGCTTGCCGACGGCAGCATAGCGCTGGGTGTGCAGCACCTGTTTTGACTTTCAAAGACTCTATTGTTGTTTGTGGTGTGCCTGATGCGGCATGACAGTTCCGGGTCGCACGAACGTATATGTTACCGTGCGGCCGACGGGCGCAACAAATATTACTCTACAAGCAAGCGTGCGCGCTGCATATCTCAGCAGCCCAGCACCCAAGGGATGAGCAAGCGACACAATCATCAATTGTGCAATACTGGCCAGGCCGCATCACTTCGCCAGCAGCAGCCGCCGATGCTCCTCAGGCCACGCCTCTGCGGCGCCCTCTGCACAGAAGAGCACCAGCTCAGGCAGGGTGCCCTCACCCTCTGCCGTGCCGCCGCGGCCGCCGTCCCCAGCCGCATCCCCTCGCTCCTTTTGCAGCCGCCGCTTGGCCGCCTCGGTCGACTTGCTGCCATGCTGCTGCTGTTGCTGCTGCTGCTGTCCCAGAGCCTCAAGCTCTGATGAGAACGCGCTGAGGTACAAATGGCAGTATGCACCCACAAACCGGGCCTCAAGCGCCGCGGCGCCCAAGTCGCCTCCGGGCTGCACATCCTGTGCCAGGAGGACGTGCTGCTGCTCTTCACTGCCAGGAAGCTCTTCCTGCTGCCCATCTTGCCGCAGCTGCCGCGACCGCTGCTTTTCCGCTTGCCCCTCCTGGTGCGCAGGGCAGGGCGGCGCGTCTGGCCGCCGGCCGGCCTCGCTCCGCACCCCTGTTTCCGTTTCCGTCACGGCCGCAGCTGCAGCGGGTTGCTCGTGCTGCCGTTTGCTGCTGGGCGCGGGGGCCACATCGGCATGAACGGTTCCTTTTTCGCTGCCATCGTTGCGGCGCTTGCTGCTCTGGCGTGCGGCACCGGCAGCAGCAGCCGCAGCTGCGTCGCCTGCCTGCCGTTGGAAGCGCTGTAGCGACCTGGATATCGCCGCGAGGCTTTGCGATTCGTACAGCGTGCAGTATTTGGGCGGAAGCTGGAGGTCGTGGAGGTCTTCCAGCAAGATCATCCTGTACTCTAAGAACAGCAGCACAGCTGGGTATCATATGCTATTATGCGATTTAGCTTCGTGATTGATGGGCCATGATCTCAGAGTGTCTGTCACCGAAGCGCGCTTGTCGCTGTAGGCGCATCGACCGTTGAGTGACGCAACAGTCACTGTGTGCTGTTGAGCAGAGTGCTCCTGCCAGGGCTTGGGATGACACGCACCTGAGCAGCACCCAGGCGGCCATGGTCCCACAGAGTGAACGAGCCAAAGCAGATACGGCACATTACTGGGTTCAACATCGCTGCTGATGGGATGAGCTGTGTATATTGCGAGGGCAGTTTGGATGCGCTCAGGATACCAAGGTGTAGAGCCTTGCGCTTGCATGACGATGTACAAAATTTAAAAGGCAGCCTTGTCAGAAGCCATCCGACAGAGCAGCCAAGATCTCCACCTCCTCTCCCCTACGCTGGACGTACCCTCGCCATCGGTGCCGCCGAACCCCCCACCCAGCCGTCGCGCAAGCCCCCCC